TCTGTTCCATCGCTCATTTTACAAATGGCTCCACACCATCCCAGGGAGTGTCTGTATCGACCCCCCCCATCTCTGTCAAACAATACAAATCGCGCGCGTTCGTTATCAAAAACCATAAGTGTCCAAAAAGTTCTTACGACAAATAAGACGAAGTCGACACGCGCGCGTCGTCGTGCGCGCGCATGCTGAAATTGCTCAAGCAAAACATAAGCTTCGCACGAATTGCATGATAGAGGGAGGTTCGCCAACACATAAAACAAATAGTGTTGCAACATGTGTTTTCAAAGAGGCTGCGCGAACACGCTCGTGCGAAATGTTATGGAAACCATCGGCTGTTCCAACATGTTCGTCAAATGACTCGCGCGCGCATGTCGGAATCATTCGAGCGCCCGTGTGCGCATTGGGGGGGGGGGGGGGGGGCGACCCCTGTCAAATAATACCATGCGGGCCGCTCGCGCGCGTCGGCCGTGCGCGCATGTCGAAATCCTCTCACAACTTTCATCGCCGACGCGTGGTCACCAGCATCGTCATCGGTGCGACCAGCATCGACACCATCATCGCCTATGTCGCCGTCATCGTCATCATCGCTACCACCGTCGCTACTATCATCATCGTGTCCGCCTTTGTCGACGTCACCATGATACCGCGCCCGCCCGAGTCACCGACCCGCACGGACGTGCCAGGGCGCCAGCGCGGCCTGCGAGACGCGCTGGGGAGTCTCCAGCGGCCGCGGCCGCGTCGGTCGCGCCAAACTAACTGGCCACCTTGCGCGCGAGCTTACCTGCGCTAGCGCAGCCGCAGCGATGCGCCAGCCAGCGCCAAGCAGGCATCGCAATCGCCGCCAGAAGGGCTTTTGCAAACCAAGCGGCGGATAGGTGGGTGGGATGATTGCGCGAGCAGTGGAGTTGACAACTCCAAGTACTTCAAAATGTATTGCACCAAGTAGATTGCGCCTCGTAGCTTGCACAGAATGGCACGTTAATAGCACATTATGCGTACCACGTATATTGCGCCACATCGCCTACACCTTGCACCACACTGCATGCACAACATTAATTGCACCCTAGACATTGTACCGCGTAGATCATCCCCCACGCTGGCAGCCACGTACATCCATGTATCCTGACAAGGGCACAGACAAAGTACGAATTCAGCGAAACCTCAAAAGTAGGCCCTAGGATCGTTCCGCATCTCTCGTATTCCCCAGTTTGATCTTGAGGCCTCAGCAGCGGCTGGCACCCAACGTCAGTGGATCAAGCTTTCGCCTGTCGTCACTCGTGGCTGGTGAAAGAGCTTCGTTGCGTCTGAGAGGCATCACCGACTTCGAGGGCGGATCAGGAAGGTTAGGTTTGGGGTGCTGCGTGGAAGAACGGGCGCACGTTTCCAGTCCCATGCAGGCGCGCATTGCATGTGAACGCGTTTCGCAGGGGCTGGCCATGCTTGAAAAGATAAGCCAGACTTTTCTCGAGGCTGCCAAATAAAACAGGGCTAGGATCGGGATAAATCGCTCCAGAGCGTTCCGGAGCGCTCTCAGAGCGTTCCGGAACGCTCTGGAGCGGCCGCGGCGCCCAATACATCCTCCAAACCCGCCGATTCTCAGAGATCTCGAGTTATCCCGATCCGACTTTGTCCCGATCTTCGCGTCGTTTGACAGGGGCTGGCCGTGCTTGAAAAGACACGCCAGACTTTTTCGGGAGACTCTTCATGGGGGGGGATCCCATGGGGGGATAGGATCCCAGGGGGGGGCTCCCATAGGATCCCCTGGGGATCCCATGGGGGAGCAGGAGGGGATCCCATGGGGGGGATCCCCTCCTGCCCCCCCATGGGATCCCCCCCCATGGAGAGTCTCCCGACTTTTCTTCCTCGAGGGCAGCCATCGCCGCAGCTCCGCGCAGGAGCAGGGGGCAGACTGCCAGCCTCGGCGCCCCGGGGACTCCGAGCATCGCGCTCGGAAGCCCAGGGCTCCGGGCTCTCCGGGCCCTGCGGGAGGGGGGGGGGCGGGCTGGGCGGGGATGGGCCACGCGGGGGTAATGCGGGATGACGACTTATTAAAAAATCGGAGAGAACGATTGAGAAATAGTTTCCTGCTATTTCTGCACAACTTTCTGACTGGAGGAGACCGACAAAAAAATAGTTTTCCAGCCCGCGGCCGGTTTCTTCTAATCGTCATCCCGGGCGCCGCCGCGTGAACACGACCCCCGGTTATTTATTAATCGTCATCCTCCATTACGCCTGGTCGCCTGCTGGCCTTCTCAGCCAGAGCCCTCTGGGCAATGAAGTGACCTCCCAAGAAGCGGAGGCCAACGTCAGGTCGGGCCTGTCCCCCCCTACATGGGGGATTTCGGACGAGACATAGCGCCCCTCCCGCGACGGGGGGGGCGCGGAAAGCCTGCGGGCCTGCCCAGCCGCCGTGCCCTCACGCCGCTCTCGCCTCTAGTGGGCGGGCCTCCGCCTCCCCGTGCGCCTCCCCGCTCTCGTTGTATCCGAGTGCCCCGTCGTCTGGGCCCCTGTCACGAGAGGCCCCACGCGTAGACAAGGAAACAGCCCAAGGAAAGGGAAATAGGAAAGAACCACACCACTCCTCCTCCTCCTCCTCCTCCTCCTCCTCCTCCTCCTCCTCCTCCTCCTCCTCCTCCTCCTCCTCCTCCTGCGCGCAGGAAGTAGCCCAAGGAAATAGGAAATTGGAAATAATGATGATGTGAGCGCTTTTTTTTTTCTGCTATCTTCTCAGAAGATGTGGCGTGGCTGAAAACAGAGGCTCTGCAGGACTTCGCCGACCCTGCATGTATCCTTGCTGGCTAAGCGAGTTGAGCCTAGATGCCAACGGATCTCAAGCAACCGCCGCCGTTACGACGCATCCTGGCTATGTTTCAGAGCCGGCGCCGTTACGACAAATTCTGGCTATTACGTACAGACGCTGGCGTTACGGCGAAATCTGGATTTATTGTTCCAGCTCCGACGCTGCTCGAGAAAGAAAGAGAAATGCCGCCGTCCTACCCCAACCAACCTCCAAAAACGGGATCAAACTCCTCGTGTCGGAAGACGTAGTCACTATTGAATGCACGCAGCTTGGAAACCAAATGCTGGTCTCCCAACCTCCAAGACAGGCGCAACTTCATGCGAGTTGTCGATTGCCACGCAGTGTTTAGGCGGGACAACACTCGCACTAAATTTGCTGCCTGCCACTGGGGGAAAAAGGGAAGCACTAAGTATATTCCTTGAAACTCCTGTCCCTCAGCGCGAGACGGTCGATGAGGAGAATGGCGATCGACTTTTAGCACGGCATCTATTATTGAGGGGCTTGCTCCGTGAGCAGCTAGCTTACTTGCAAACTCGAGCTGCTGTCTTCTGGCCTCAGAAGTATGACTGCACAAGCGGTAAAACCTTGAGGCCATAGCCACCGGCCATGCACGGTGCTGAGACTTGGGATGAAGCGACGACTCCGAAAGTGGGCGCCACTGTGTCGTCGGCTTCGCGTACACCCGGTGGTCAAAAAACAGTTCTAAGCGAAAGCAGCGAGCGCTTGTACAAAGCTACGTCCAGAAAAACACCTGAATCATGAGCCCTGCTTTCAAGCTCAAGTACAAAAGGGCTAGCTTTGAGGCTCAGCATCGTGAAAAATCTGTCGGGCTGCTGGTTGGGGCCGTCGAAGAACGCTATGATGTCGCCTTTGAATCTGAAATACAAGCGTAATCCAACGGACCTCTTGTACGCATTGTCACGGATCCAACTGTCCTCCGCCAGGAAGTAAAAGCTACTGTCGCTAACCTCCCCGCTGCAGATCATCCCCATACCGCTTCCTTCCATTGCGTGCCAGACCACTGGGTAATCTGGCATGCACACGTACTGGTGGGATATGACAAACCGCAGCAGCGTCTTGTAGCGGTCGAGAGATACACCGTGGAAGAACTGAGAACTACATCCAATCAGTATATCATGGGTGCCATTCAAAAATAATCTTTTATGTCGACCTTGACCACTGTCACACTCTGCGTGAACTCAACCCCACGAATATTTGAAATGAATTCGGCAGAGTCCTTCACGAGATGGGGCAGATCCTTGAGGTGCTGGCGTAGCTCATGAGATATATACCTCATGGCAGGGGCGAGTACGCTGCGAGGCTGCATGGCATGCAACAGCCGGACGCTGCACTTTCCTTGCGGCTTATGTGTCTTCGCAGTCGCTGATACGCGAAACGTAATTGTGCGAGGGTCAGACCGGCTGCTGCACAGCGCGCGAAAAAGATCCGAGTCGTACTCGCCCCCCATCATGCACACCTCTCTGCATTGTCCGCACATACCGATCACACGCGTCACGAGTGAGAACATCTAAATCGCACCTAATTTCTGTGCACTGCCGCGGGTTGCGAAGCAATCGAATGTATTCTGCCAACAAGCGGTCTTTCATCACCAGGGCAAACCCTCCATCCTTATCTGTGGGCAGGGTCCCCCAACGACCGTGCCGTAAGATCCTGAGAGCTTCGCAGACAATTGATGGGATCCTTGACAATTGATAGGAAAGAACCACCCCACTCCTCCTCCTCCTCCTCCTCCTCCTCCTCCTCCTCCTCCTCCTCCTCCTCCTCCTCCTCCTCCTCCTCCTCCTCCTCCTCCTCCTCCTCCTCCTCCTCCTCATGCGCGCAGGAAACAGCCCAAGGAAACAGGAAAGTGGACATCCCCCCCCCCCGCCCCTCCCGCGACGGGGGGGGGGCGCGGACGGCCTGCGGGCCTGCCCAGCCGCCGTGCCCTCACGCCGCTCTCCCGCCTCTGGCGGGGCGGGCCTCCGCCCCGCCCCGTGCGCCTCCCCGCCGCTGTTGCATCGGAGTGCCCCTTCGCTTTGGGCCCCTTTCTCGAGAGGCCCCGCGCGCAGACAAGGAAACAGCCCAGGGAGAAGGAGGTAGGAAATACCCCCCCTCCACTCCCCCCCCGCCCCTCCCGCGACGGGGGGACGCGGAAGGCCTGCGGCGCCCCCCCCCCCCGCTCTGTGCTCCCCGCCCCCGCGGTCCCACGGATTCGCGCCGGGGAACTCCGACATCACCCGCCCGACGAGCTCCGCCGTGGATGCCGTCGACACCTGGCCGGCGCTTTTTCTGCGAGCCGCGACGACGACACGGCGGGCAGCCAGCTGCTCGACGGCAGATAAGAAGGGAGACACCACCCGCCCGACGAGTTCCGCCGTGGATGCCGTCGACACCTGGCCGGCACTCTTTCTGCGAGCCGCGACGACGACACGGCGGGCAGTTGGCTGCTCGACGACAGACAAAGAAGGGAGACACCACCCGCCCGACGAGCTCCGCCGTGGATGCCGTCGACACCTGGCCGGCACTCTTTGCGAAACCGCGACGACGACACGGCGGGCAGTTGGCTGCCCGACGACAGACAAAGAAGGGAGACATGACATCGACCATGGGCATCGGGAGCGCGTGCTACTTCGGGCGCCAGAGAGCTCGGCAGCATGGCACAACGCATGGCTGGGAAGTCGTACCCCACACAAACGGTAAGCCACTCACGCGCGCAAGCGTTGATGGCTCCAGAGCGATTGCGCTGCCAATGCGCCTGGCTTGCGACGGGGCTCCCGCGCCACAGGCGAGGGGGCAGGCGTGCAGGCAGCCGGCAGGTGGGCCCCCAGCCGGCGTTGCCTTGGCACCGCCTCGAAGAGAGCGCTGAAGTGTCAAAGCACGGTGCCTCGGGCAAGGTTTCCCTGTAATCGTCCAGCCAGTCGATGTCGGCACGTAGGCCGTCCATGGTTGGCTTGTCCAAGAAGATGACAAACAGCACGAACACCTGCACTCCGGGCTGGCTGCTGGTGCAACCCGTGCCAAAAACAACAGACTTTGAACTAGTTCCGGAGCGTATGGCAAGGCTTGGGGGTGGGTCTGGCCTGGATGCCCGCAGGACCGCAGTCTGCTGGACCAACCAGGAACTCACAACATTAACAACAGTAGCGAAGCGGGCACCACAAAAGGAGGCAAAGATCCAATTTTGAAAAAAAGAAAAACGCAATAAAAATAGGCTTTTGGCACTCCGCGCAGATTTCTCGGATCTGCGCTGGACCCCTCTCCCTGGCGCGCGGAGCGCGCCAGGGGCGGCGCCGGAGGCGCCGCCAGGGGGGCCCAGCGCGGATCCAAGAAATCCGCGCGGAGCGACAAAAGTTTATGTTTATGGCGGTTTTTCTTCCTCGAAGTTTGGATGCCCGTAGGCCCGCACTCCGCTGGACCTCCCCTGAGCTCACGAAAGTGGCAACACTTGCGCAGTTGGCACCACATACGCAGGGCGTGGTCTTTTGGGTGCCCGTAGGCCCACACTACGCTGGACCTACAGCTGGTGAACGTCATCGTCTTCGGCGTTTCGACATTGGGCGGAAGGGGGGGGCAGGGGGGGGTCTGGCTTCGAACCTCTGCTTAGCGCGACTGTTTGCAACAGTGCGTGCGATGGGGGAGACCCCAGCTGCTCGAAACAGGCGCCAACAACAGCCGATACCGGAGAAAAACCCGATCATAATCTTTTTTGGGCTATAAGGCTATGGGGCTATAGGGCTAGAAGGCTATGGGGCTATGGGGCTATAGGGCTATAGGGCTATAGGGCTATATGGCCATATGGCTGTAAGGCTATATGGCTATAGGGTTATAGGGTTATAGGGCTTTAGGGCTATAGGGCTATAGGGCTACATGGCTATAGGGCTACCTGGTTATGGGGCTACAGGGCTATATTGCTATACGGCTATATGGCTATATGGCTATGTGGCTATAAGGCCATAGTGCTATAGTGCTATAGGGCTATAGGGCTACAGGCGCTATAGGGCTATAAGGCTATAGGGCTATTGGGCTATAAGGCGATAGAGCACCCGGGCACCCGGGCCAGTCACCGAAATCGGCGGCCCACCTCACCTAACCATATGAATCCGCTAGGACCCCTACAGAGGCAAGCTCTGATTGGGGAATAAAAGACGATCACCTGGCAGCACCCAGGGGTGCGAGGTCTAGTTTGGGTGCTCATACCGGCACTCCGCTGGGCCTCCCACGACCTCATGAAAATGGCGACGGTTGCGCACCTGGCGCCACCCAGGGAAGCGAAGTATCATCTGGGGTGCCCCTAGGGCCCGCGCGCTCTGCCGGGCCTCCCACAAGCTCACGAAAGTGGCAACAGCTGCGCAGTTGGTACCACCCGGAGAGGCGAGATCTAGTTCGGGTGCCCCTAGCTCTGTCCGCGCCCCACTGGAGCTCACGACGGTGGCGACACTTGCGCAGCTGCCGACGCCCAGGCAGGCGATGCAGGAGGTGGGTAGGAGGTAAGAGGCAAACAGGATACAGGAGGCAAGAGGAGGAGAGAAGGGGCGCGAGAAGAGGAGGAGGAGGAGGAGGAGGAGGAGGAGAAGGAGGCAGCAGAGCTAGATTCGAAAAGAGTACCCAACACAGGAGGCTTGGGAATAAACGAAGCACTCTTCGAGCCCGAAAGAGTGTCTTGATGTTCCTTGATACTACGATGTGGCAAATATCATCGGGAGGGCATTTTTTAGAAGGCAGTGTCTTGTTTGTGGCGTGGGATGCGTTGCCAGATGATCGCCTGAACGGGAAAAGGTAGGCGGAAGGAAATTGGGACAGGGGGGAGGCGATGGGGACGGGAAAACGGGAGACCGAAAAGGGGAGGAGGTATAGACAACTTGGCATGATCGCGCCATATGCGACAACCGAATCATCTCACATAGCCCTTCCCATCTCGCTGGTTTCTTCATATCTCATCTCACCCGCCGACTGACTTGTACTCCGAGAGTTTCTTGATCTCTAAAGTGGCCCATCGTGTAATGCGCAACCAAGGAGTGGGGTTTTGCATGCTGGAGGAGGAGGAAGAAGAAGGGGAGGAGGAGGAGGAGGAGGAGGAGGACGAGCGCGCTCACCAAGAGAAGGGACGGCCAGACAAGAGGAGGGGACGAGAAGAGAAGAACCGTCAATGACCAAGATGACAAAACACACCAGCCACGCTCGGACAGGCGCTCACAATCTGCTGTATGCGAGCATGCGCGTGCGCATAAAACGCTACGAATGGGCGCTTGCACATGCCGGGTTGTGTGGCATAAATGTTACCTGATCACTCCCCTTTATTCTGATCCAACCCATCCGCTCACAAACACCAGCGAATAGAATTCAATTCCTGCACACTAACCGAGTGTCACTGAAAAACGGCGACGCGACTCGCCCCACACGAACCCACCCCAACAAAAAAAAGGCGAGCAAAACGCAAACCTCCAGCTAACCTCTTCGAACAAACCAACGACGACGACGCGCCAAAACACTTACCAGGCCGCATGCGAACCCTGCCACGATGGCCTTCGGTGAAACTCCCTGAATCTCCATCTGAAGCCACGTACCGTGTGAGGGGCGTGCCCAAACTGTACTTGGGAGGGCCCTGCTATTGAGGCTTCGGTGGAGCTCCCTATGAGGCCACGAACCGTGTGCGTGTGCGCGTGCCCAAATTTGCCAAGGGACATATGTGAACCCTGACGCTGGGGCCTTCGGCGGCGCCCTCCATGAGGCCACGCGCCCCAAGGAGGCCCGCGAATAAGCCGCGGTCCGTATCACGCGCCCCCAAGAACGCCGAGGAACCCTGGAAAAAAACGGCGACGAAAGATCCTGCGAAGACTTAGTGCGCTCCCCGAGAAAACGGGGAACGGCGACGCCCGACCTCGGGGGGGTACCCAGTGGAGGCTCCGTTGAGGGGGGTGATGTTACCTGGCGGCTGTACAACCTGCCTGACGGCGATCTTCTCAGCACTGTTACGAGAGTAAATGGATTGGAAAACTTAGGTGGTAAAAAAAAGAATCCAGCACATACAGGACAGTCCAACATATGATCTAGACTACCGGACTTGGGCAATCTGCACGCACGACACGCTGTGGTGCACCCCCGGAAACGCGCAGATGTAGTCCATGCGTTGCACAGGGTTTTGAGGAAAGAGGCCAACACAAAGCGCGCGCCCTGCTCCCGTGCCAAGCCTGGATCATACCGCTGTGCACGCAGTACAAGCACCCCCATAGCACTCTCACTGCGGTCTTTGTTGCGCTGAACCCGAAGATCATATACCCCACGTTGAAGCTTTGCGTTTTCACGTGGGATCCCAGGAATAATTGTCCCACAGCGCCTGGAAAATCGACGTTCTGCGCCAGAGGTGCCGAGCCCAAGCCGCCACGCACTCGTCCTCCGAGCTGAACTGCGGGAAAAGATCGAGTGACGACTGGAAGGCGCGACTTCTCTGCACAACCCGAAACATGGCGGCCCTGCACGCGTGCTCTAGCGCCTGGAGGTCAAGCGGCAGGGCATGCGGCGTCGAGCTACGAGGTGCAAGACATACGCCTGCGACGACTTCCCTCTCAGCACGGAGGACCGTTGGAGTAGGCGGCAGCAGTTGTCCGACAAACGTCACGCAAGAAAAGCAAGCATACTGTACAGGGCCATGCCTTTAGCGAACCCAACGTTCAGAGCGGTGGCGTCTTTCCCACAGATGCAGAATTCCATCGCGGACCTGCCCAGGACGCCTCGCGGCTACCCGGGCCTGGGATGACCCGCGCGCCCGCCATGCTGAGCTGCGCGACAAAAGGGATCGTCGACGCCAAGTGCAGCGAGATCCCGGCATAGGGCCTCTCCCGAGTATCTGCCAAAAACAACTACTGTTTGACCCGCGTGCAAATGAAGCCCCGCTGCGCGGCATGCTATCCTCCACGCCCCAGGGGACGTAGCAAGCAGCGCGGCAATCTGACCGCTAGCCCCTCCCGCGTCGCCAGCGAATACCCCTGTGCTGCGCAGCCAAGAAGAGGGCAGATAAAATAAATTCGTCGCGAAACTTCCGGAGCCCATCTCCTAGGCGCACTCGTTGGGGAAGTCTGGGCACCCGCATTCTGCAACTGAAGTCAAAGACGAGCGCGAATAGGCTGCCCGACGACAGAAAAACAACCCTGTCGAACGCACCGCAAGCGCCAGAATCCGACGCCCGAGTAACCTCGAAATCGAACGTCGACCCAGACGTGGTGGTAGAGAGCCTCGATCGCGCGAATCATCCACCGCGGCGCGCCCATGCGCGATAAAATCCAAAACGCTGCAGAATGGATAACAGACGGGAACGCCCGCTTGATGTCATAGAACACGAAGCCTGTGGTTCGAAGGGCGCGTTGCGCTAGCCAGTACAGCGCCATATATTCAATGGTGATGATGTTATATAACATGCTGCGGTTCTGGATGAAGCGTTTCTGGCTGTTCAGACATGCCATTTGGCAGATGTATGACAGTGGTTTGTTTAGGCCATGGGCCACCATCTTTTGACGCGCGGTGGAGAGCGCCAACGGACGTGTATGTTCAGGCTGCCAGGCTACGAGATGATCAGCGGGGTCAACGTGACCTTCCGCCCAAAACACGGAATGCGCCCGATCGGACTCAGGCCCAACACGCCCCGTAATAATCACAACTCAGCATGCTCAAAACAGATGCGCATGGGCCTCTGAGCCAGCGCGAGCCCACGCCAAGCGCGGCACGCCGTCAGGCCCAGGTGCTGATGGTTTAGTTCGAAGCAGCACGCGCGTGAATTCAGCCCCCTCCATGTCCCAAACGACATTGCGCGGACAAGATTGGATGAACGGGGCCATCTCCTCCAAGGCCTCCAAGTCGACCTCGGCGCGAGCATGCGCGGAGCCACAATGGTCAGCAAGGGCTTGGCCAGCAGCTTGGGCGCCAGGGATGGGCCGGCCAAGCGGGTCCGTGATGCGCGTCAACCCCGCGCGACGAGATCCAGGACTCCATGCCGAGCGGTACTTGCGCAACTGATCCTTTCGGGATTGCTTCTCAGCAGAGCTCGTGCTTTTTGCCGTCAAAGTCGCTAATATGTTTGTCAACCGCTTCGCGCTGCAGTTGTCCTGGTAGGCCATGAAACCCACGCCCGTCGGTGAGTGGGCAAGTTGAGCAATCGAGGAAGGCGCGTAGCTCGGCGAAGGCAGCGACGGCGCCTCGGAGCAGCCGAGGAGAAGACGACAACGAGGCGCGCAATGCAACCATTGCCCAGGCCACCCTTTCCTCTACAGATTCCGCCCCAGACTGCTCTTTCCTCCTCTTGAGCTCCTCGGCGGCGGCGCGCGGCAAGTCGCGCGCCTCGCCCAGAGCCCCAAAGGGGTCGTCGGAGACGGCCCGGCAACGGCGAGCAGGTCCTGGAAGAAGATCAATGGGAACTCGGCACCCTTCGCAACCCAAGCAAGGATAATCCGAGGCCCGCCCCCCCGCTGTAGCTCAGGGAGTAGGGGAACAGTAGCGTGGCCAGACGCGGCGGATAGGTCTGCAGCGCGCCCTAGGACGCCCGAGGACGGAGACATACTGACCAGGACAGAAGGGAGCGACGTGTATATATATATATATATATATATATATATATACGATCAACTCTTCCGAAGGATTCCAAGTGGGGAACGCCGTCGCGCCTGCCCGTGGTGCGATGCGCCATGTGAAGTTGTTCGACTTCCGCTACCCATGGCAAGGACTTATGACAATGCGGCGCCAATCGATGCCGTGGAAACCAAACGTCGCCCGCAGCTTGCAGACGACCCTCCGAGGGCTCGGGGAAATTGAAGTCGCCTATCATGAACGCTGTTACATGCGCGCAGCTGGCCAGCCTGTCTCACTCTTGTGAATTCAAGTTGGCGAGCAAGGTGGCTGAGAGAAGGGTCGCTGTGAATGTTGATAACCTGTTATGCCATTCCTCATGCCCGTTCTGTAAGATCAGTTTATGGATTCGGATGTGTACTATCTGCGCATGTTGGTGTTCTGGTAACAGACGGCGGAGACGAGGATGGACGAAGATAGCGCGCCCCGCGCTGTCCGTGTGAAACATGCGCGCACGCGCGCCCCACGCCCCATCGATCCCAAAGATAAGGCTCAAGAGCTGCTCATCGCTGCCTCGCAATTCCTGCAAGCAAATAATGTCGTAGCACTGCGAGTATGTTAACAGCTGTTGCTGCTTACGTCGGAGGTTTGGATCCACGGTCTTCTGAGCAACCAGGAGAGACGGGATCCAGGTCGCGATTCTAAATTTGGACGGTATGTGCGGCGCGAAATACCCCCAAGCAGGATCAGGTTCCTCCGAAGGCAATGGAGAATAAGAGGATGAAGTACTTGAAACGCAACCCGCAGAACTAGCACAGCAGGACGAAGAGGAAAGCAAAAACGCGAAATCTGTCGTAACATTCTCGGGGCCACCCGCCCCTCGACGTGGAATAATCAGCAAAATCTGTCGCGACGCTCCCGGGCCCCCCCGACGACGATCGGACATTGTTCCTCCTCAGCGGCCAACTCGACAAGCGGGCTGGCGCAAGTAGACGCGACGCCATGTACAAGCACGCCTTGCACCCTAGGCTCCCAAGGGTAGTCATCGGAATCGGCGGGGCCGACGTGCGGCACGGAACCCAGCTCCTGCGGCGAATCCGGCATGTCGCTTGATCGTCACAGGTCAGTAATGTCGATCATCTTGTTCCAGGCCGTCTGGTCCAGGCCAAACTGTCCTGGGACGCCCGCCTCGATGGACACATGGACCTGGTCGCCGTCCCCGAACGCCACCGTGAAGAGCGAAGTGATGGCACCGCCGTGGATCAGGTAGAGGACGCCCTTGAACGGCTGCGAGCCGAGGACCTTTCCCTCGTTCCAGCGCTGCGTGTCCTCCATATGTTTCTTGAATCGGCTCCACAACGTGCCGGAAGCACGATTTTTGCGACGAGCGCCGAAGGGAAGGTCAGGGCGCGCCTGGAGTGCCACATTACGACCCGACACCGCATCGTGATATTGGAGGCCCTCCGCGAGGACCTTGTCCAGGATGTCTTTCGCTTTCCCAGACGTCTCGAACAACATGAAGGAATAATGATTTGTTCGTGTTGTAGGCCTTGGTGGAGACGCCCTCGCTGACGGCCTGCGGGAACGCCTTTTTGATGTCTTCCCCCGCCTTCATCATGGCCCTGGCGTGCATGAGCCGCGGGAAACCTAAAATCCACACCCTGCACTTCTTGGACGTCTTGACGTCGGGGAAGCCCGGTGCCGGCCCCGCGAATGACGCTGCACAGGATCCCAGTGGTGACGCTGTCGGCTGATCCAACTGCGTCTGCAACTTGGTGATCTTCTCGTCCAGCTTCTGCATGGTGTCCTGGTCGGTGGAAGCCATGGCGTCTGCGAAGGACGCCTCGGCTTTCTGCTCGAGGAGGGCCACGCGCTCGCCCATGCCCTCCAGGTCGCGCTTTGTGTCGTCAAGCTGCGGCTGCATGGTGCTCAGGGTGCCCGCCATGCGCCTCGTGGTCGGGGATCTTCTGGCCCGGGTCATCCAGACCCGGGTCAGCAGGAAACCAAAAAGTGCAATGCAGGAAAAAACAAAAAAAACACTGCAGCGCAGGTCTTCGCAAACCCAAGCCAGCCAATATGCGCGGCCGCCTCGCGGCCACGAGCGGCTCGCTAACCTGGGTCAACCAGAGGGGGTCCTCGCAGGATCCTGCAGGATCTGGTGCCCTGGCTGACCCTGTGTGATTTTTGTTCCCCACAGTGTGTGTTTTCTCCCACAGTGTGTTTTGTGTGTTTTTTCCCACGTGTTTTTTCCCACAGTTTGCATTGACCCCCGTCTCAAGGCTCCCGACATGATCTCTAGCCTGTCCGCCCGGCCATCCGGCGCGGTGCCCGGAGTGAGCTCGCTCTTGCCCGCGGCGCCACCTCTGTCCAGGGTTTCTTGCGAGCCCGCAGCGCTGCAGCTGACAGCGCGGAGAGCCCTGGCACGCGGTGCACCTTCTGGGGCAGCCGTGGTCGGCGCGCCATCAGCCGTTCCGAATCCAGCCGTTATCGGAACGCGCGGTTTCCAGGGGTCTTCAGCGTAGAACTTATCGACCACGCTGTGAATGCACAAACCTTCGCAGGAACTGGAAGAGCGTCCGTGTACCTGCACGAGTCTGTGCAGGTGCGAGAAAAACAGGGCGCTCCAGCAGGAGCCCACCGAAACTTCCATGTCTGGCCTCAGACTAGAAGTATCCACTGTCTGCCCGAGGGACAACGGTATCTTTCGCCAAAACGGCTACGGAAGGAGGAGGAGAAGGAGCAGGAGCAGGAGGTGACGGATGAGCCAGAGGATATGCAGAAGGAGGAGGAGGAAGGAGACGGATCTGCAGCAGTCAGGAGGAGCAGGAGGAACGGGGGGGGCATGAGGACAGAGGGAAGGCGGAGGAGGGGCAAGGGGGGAGGCGGCAACGAGAAGAAAGACAGCGGATCCAGAAGTGTTGCCGGCGCTAAGGCCGAGAGGCCATGATGCGCATGACGGGAGCAAAGCGCCAATGCTGAAACGTGGCAGCCTCCTCCTCCTCCTCCTCCTCCTCCTCCTCCTCCTCCTCCTCCCTCTCCTCCTCCACCTCCTCCTCGTCCCCCTCCTCTTCCTCCTCCTCCTCCTCCTCCTCCTCCTCCTCCTCCTCCTCCTCCCCCTCCTCCTCCTCCGCGGCGGGAACACCATTTTGAGCGGCCGAGGACGTACCGTACGAAAAACCAGTAGTGAGCATGAGTTTGCTTCGGGCGATCCCCTATCAACCAGGTGCTGCGAATGGTTTCGGAGTCAGCGGGGTGTGACTCTACTCTGCGAGAAGTGACAAACTTGCTTTCGCATGGTAGTTGCATACGTTCTGTTTTCGTGGCGTGTGCCCGCGTTGTTTCATATGCGATTGGTGATAATTGCACAGGTGAGTTACGTCTGTATATTGCCATGCTCTTGAAGTTGGTCCTGAAGATGCGCCTGTCGTTGGATTGTGTATGTGCTTGATGCCTCTTGCAGATGGCTGTCATCTGCTTGTTGATGTTAGTGATGTGATTTCCTGATGCCTATTCCGAATGTGCTTACCCTATGTGTCTTATGGGTGCGTATTAACAAATTGTGCTGAACTGTCAAGCTTACAGCGTGCCACTGGTGAGCGGTATTAGTAGATGTTGTTGAAGCATGGTCATAGCTTCTGTCTTTGATGTGTAGCATTGGCGTCTGTGTATGGTGTCTGGTGCTGATGTATGTTATTGATGTCGTGTGGTATTGACGTGTGTTTCTGCAGTGTGTTGATGCTATGCGCCACTGATGTATGATATGGCTGTCTGTTGTCGGCTTCCCGTATAAGAATATGATGAATTGGTTTAGTGTAAGTTGCTGGCGTATGCTATTGATGTCGGTCCTTGTTGTGTGGTACTGCTGCGTTATCTTGCCCTCAGTGATGTATATATGTACTTGGAGCGTGGCCGTGATAGCTAATCTTGCTGCGCGCTCTTGATGGGCAATCGTGGTGTATTATGGTTGTGCCGCTCGGTGTATGCTATTCATGTGTGTTCGTGATGTCTGCCCATCACGTGCGCCGCTAATGTATGTGCGCGCGTGTCCTTGCGATGTATGTGTTTGACGGTATTGAGTGATGGGTGCGAGTTCTGTCATGTATGTATGATGGGTGCCAGTTCTCGAGGTGCTTGTTTGGTGACTGTCGCTGGAGCATGTCATTGAAGTGGGTTATTGGTGTATGTGCTTGACGCCTAGTATTGTACATAACGTTCTCGATGCGTGGTGTAGTGTTGTGTGCTTCCTCATGCACGTAGTGATGAATAATCGTGTTGTTGCCTGGTCTTGGTCTGTGTGTGCGTTGATGGTGCCTGTTGCTGAGATATGGTAGTGTTGTCCGTCCGTAACGAATGTAACTGGCGTCTCGTACTAATTGCGCCTGAGAAAACCCAATCAATGGATGATTTGAAAACTGATGCTATGGATCTGATTGGATCTTGAGATCGATTGTGAGATCGATTATGAGATCGATAGTGTAATCGATAGTGAGGACGATTGTAAGGTCGATCGTGAGACCGAGAATGAAATCGATTCGATGAGATCGATAGAGATCGATTGCGAGATCGCTCATGCGATCTCTAATGAGATCGCTTGTGAGTTCGATAGTGAGATCGATTGTTAGATCGATGGTGAGATCAATAGAGAAGTGGGTAATGAGATCGATGATGGGACCGATCGATAAGAAAATCGATCAAGAACCCGGGAACCCGGGAACCTCGCCGCCCTCCGAAATCGGCCCGGAACCCGGAACCAGGAACCCTGGAACCCAGAACCCGGAACCCGGGAACCCAGCCAGCAACCAAAATCGGCGGGAAACTTTCGCCAAATCCTTCAACATCCGCGAGGACCCCTTGAGTGCAAGCACTGATTGGGGACTGTCTGGATCTGCATGATGCTGTGTGTATGCTTGATGCCTGTGGTTAGTGTCTGTCCCTGATGTCTTAGCGTCGCGTGTGGCTCGCGACTATTGCCGATGCAGGTAAACTTTGAATGCTCCTGATGTCTGTTCTTGGTGCATGCTACTGATGTGTGTGATCAATGCCTACTCCGAGTAATTGGTCTTGACGCCCGGTGCTGGTGCATGCTGTTGGTGCATGCTGCTGGTGCATGCGGTAGGTGTCCGTGGGCGGCGCGAGGCCGTGATGCCTGTCATGTTGTTAACTTGTTGTAGGTGTTGCCATTGATGGTGCCAGTCTGCGGGCCAGCGGGCGGTATGCT